ATTCATGTAATCTAGGCGATCTTTACGCGCTTGAAGTTTTACCTGCTTATATAAATAAGAGTAAAGAGTAATTTTAGGACTATATTTTTTATATTTAACAGATTTGTACATATTAAGGTCTAAGAAGATTTTTCAAGTATTTATTGTTAATTATTACACCAAGCTGCTTAAAAATATTAAGCGTTCAGTATTTTCGTATGGTATATTGATCGAATAAAAGGTATAACTGATTTATAAGTGTTAGGTGTTTACAAAATACCTGTAGAGTTATTTATTTTAGTTTTAGTTGATGTTTCATACATTCCTCGTGGACCCTATTCAGAAAAAATACTAATTATTTAGACCAATAATTTGATGGCAAAACACATTTTTAATATTGTTTTTATATGACCTTAAACAGCTTTGAAGAGTTATTATTTATAAAAACAAACTTTATCACTTCCGTCCCCACCATGGTAAGGTACATCAATAAGAGTAACACTTTAAAACTGACAGCTAAGGAATACCAGTTCCAAACGTAATCTTAACACATAACACAAAAACCTAAGTGATCTAAGTTTATTTATATGCATTAGCTATTATAAATAAGTATTAACCCAAAAACAATGCAAAACAAAAAAACATAAATGCTGTTCATAAAATGTTAATAGTTTGCTAATATTTGTTTTTACTTTATGGTCATTTGAGGCAGAAAAAGTGTAAAATAACCAATTAAAAATAAAAGAATTTAAAAGAATCTGACAGTGATTTTCTCAGAACTGTGTTATTTCTCCATACGATGTTTATTTTTAATTAAACTCATTTAATTTTATATTACAAAATATTTTGTTATAGACAACGTTTACTCAGCCTGGTTTAAAATATAAAGTGTTTATTGCATTAAATGTTCAAAGTGTTAAAAACAATATTAATGATGAAAATGGTAAGGTAAATTGCGTCCTTACAAATTGATTTAAGCTTCTTTCCCCAGTAATTTATCCAAGATATTTCACTTCATTAGCCTAAACTTTATATTTAATAGTAGGACCAACGCTGCTTTATTGATGAAAGTAATTCCTTTTCTCTATAAAATTTTGTAAAATTGTCCATTTTTACGCAAATATTTAAGATTCTGATCACAAATAAGCTATGTTCAAAATAAATAAAAACAATAAACTACGATCTTTAAGGAGACTGTATTTTGTATTGTTGTTTTTTTTTTCATGCAAATCCTTATCATAGAATTATGTTATAAAAATGCAAAAGGCAACATCTTTCATCTATTGGCCAACGTTTGTTTCTATATATTTTTATCTTAGCCAACATTTATCAATTATACATTTATCACTTTTCACATTGTATTTTTCTTTATGGTAAATTTAATAGTAGGACCAACGTTGTTTTATTGATTAAAGTGATTCATTCTCTCTGTAAAATTTGTAAAACTTTCCATTTACAGACAAATTAAGATGCCGATCACAACTAAGTTATGCTAAAAATAAATGAAAACCATTATGATCTTTAAGGGCGATTGTTTTTCGTATCGTTTTTCAACAATAAATATTTTACAAATATATGGCAGGGAAAAGGTATTCTACAAATAAAAGACTAATGAAATTGAGGCTCACAAAATCTATCAAAATATAAACTACCTATTTTTTATCAATTGCTTGAATGATGAATAAATTTTAATTTTTACCACATTCTATATTACAATTCTATTGATATATTACCACCGTAGCCAATTGTTATTATTTTATTTTTTTAATGAAATAGCATTATTTTAAGTATTGACCGTTTAGTTAAATAAATATCCCATTAAAGTAAAAATACAGTGAAGGTTTTTTTTAATACATCATTATAGAATGTTGTTTAAGTCTATTTAAAAACCTTTAAAGGCTCACAGTAAGCTTTTCAAGTCTCTTAAACACCTTATACAACAAGGCAATATTTTATAATGCGTATTGCAATGTATTTTGCGTAACCGCGATAGTGCTGTTAAAACAATTAAGCGTTAAGTCTTAAACAATTCTTAGTTTTTTTGTTTTTTTTTGTTTTTATTTATTTATTTTTTTTAGTTGGTTGCCTGCACTAAAAATACTATATGGAGGGTGGTATGTTTTTAATGAATTATTTCCTACGTGGGTTTGTCATTATCTAACAATATGGGGCTGCATTACAGATTTCTTGAACTAAAAATTAATTAATATATACGGTCCAATTAGTCTTACATATACTAGGAGAGATTATGAACTTAGCAGAAACGATTTAAATTTACAAATTATGTACTTTTTGATGGTCAAATTCTGATATATTACAAATTTATTTTTTGAATGTAATTAAATGATTTTTTTGTATTGCCGGCTATATTCCTAAATTCGCATTTTGTCAACTGTTCTGTATGAATTAAGTAGGCCTAAATTGTTTTCTCAAAACATCTCTTAGTATACATTCATACATTTTTTATTTGTCTGTATTAGTCCGTATAACATTGGTTGGAGCTATTTCAAGTCTGTGCGGTGTTCAAGTCTAGAAACTAAACCCGGTCACTCCGATATTACCTAAAGGTGCATATTGACGACTATTTGGAGCTAATCTTTGTAAAAAAATGTATATCAATGGATATACAGAATATTGAGTGAACGTTTTAATACGATTCAGGACACTTAATAGTGCAATTAAAAACATGATTAAGTGTTTAGTTTGTTTGGTAAATCCGTTTTTTTTTCATGTGTAATAATACTGGGTGATTTTACAATATATGTGAATATTTTTCAATCCTAGGCTGTTTATAAAGCCACTGAATGAATACCTTTACTAAAAGGCACATGAATGGTAATGGTCTGTATCAACAATCATAGGTTTTATCCAAAACATCCCGCTGGATATCTGTATCCTGTAATGTATTTTCTACGTATTTTAGAACTTTTTTGTGCTATGTTTTTTTCGATCCTTTGCAATTTTTTACTCTCTAGTTAGCACAAATAGTTAATCTCTTGGTCGGTATTCTATAAAATAATGTAATTAACTGTGTGAGGTTTTATTTTTACATATTTTGCTTTTAATTCACTAAATTTGCGATATTTATATTGCCGAAATTTTGTCTGTGAGTTTATTATTGTTATTAGCTACTAGCTTACTTTTAAAATGCATACTGTTTGGATTTTATAATAGGTTACCAACTATACTGAAATATTAATTACCATGCTAGCAAATTAAGAGGTTTTAACACATTTTCTAACTTTTTAACAATGTTTTTGGCTACATATTTACAAATACAATTATTATTCTTTAATAGGCTACTATAAAGTTCAGTATAGTATAAATATAACTAAAGACAATTTTCCAAACTTGTATTAGAGTTCATTGAGGGTTTATATTAATTTTCTCTGACACTCACTCATTTGAAAAAGCTGATATAAGATATTGATTAAAGTAAACATACTCAATTTACGATCTATTTTATACAGTTTTACATGTATGAATAAATCAGCGAATCGTGTTTAAAAGCACATTAAATCTGAAAATTACTTTTTACTATAAAACATCTTCATCCAATTAATCTATATAAAAATGTATAGCAATCGTTTAAAACATCATTACATAAAATACTTGGGTTACTTAGACAATCTATTAGAATTATAACCATTTGCACTGAATTTTAAGCGGTCGTTCACAAAGAAGTACTAACGTTTTTCCGAAGTCTCTCTTTTACAACTTAATACTTAGGGTCTTATGAAAATAATTGATTACATGAAATCAACCAGCTTACGTTATACCCTTTTGGTGATATTGTAAGTTTTTGTATATTAACTTCATGTGGACTATACAGGGTGTCTTACTCCGTTGTGTGCACTTCAACGCAAAAAGTAAGTAAATCTTAGTTTTGTTACTTTCCAGTCCAAGAGTTTGTAAATTGTATATTTATGTCTATTTTACGGTTAATGGAGTTAGTTTCACACATTAGTCCCACTTGTATGTTAAAGGACTGTATAATGTCCTAACCTTTTGACCACGTATATCAACCTTAGCAAATGACACTTCCAACAAACTTTACAAAGTACTTCAATCTCTTCAAATCAAACTAGTGACTTTGATATAAGTTCCCAAGCACATTGAGTAGTTGAACAAACGATCTTGAAAATTGCATGGCTTTCTTTAAAAAATTACATGTTGTTTAGGCTATTTTCTTTATTTTATGTTGAAGTGTACAAGCTGAGTATTAAGTAAAAATCCCATCACGGCTAATCTACAGAAAAAGCAAACTTTTAACTAACTTTGTATCCACGCAGATCCATTAAAAGGGAAGTTAGAAGTGTGCCATGTTTGGTAGTGGTAATATTTAAATAAACATTTAGCCAGAAAAACGAATACAACACATTATTGTATTAATTAAGTTTCAATCGTTTGAAGATAAAGCTCAAAAAATTTCATGAATATAAACAAGCAAACTACAGCAAACAATTTAATTCAAAAGTACGAGTGACATAAGATTTCGTTTGTTAATTTTGATATTTCTATCGGTAACATAGTGGTTCGTAATATTTTTTAGATGAAAACAATGCTGCAAGAAACATTCCCTTAAAACTGTCTTAGCTTGATCACACTATTTCTAGCCAAATTTTTGTACGCATTTATGTAAATTTACACATGATTAGAGGAGTTTTCAGGACATTTTTTGTGCACATGTAGACTCAAACACCTTGTTTTACTGTTTTAAAACTATCTTGAAAATGGCTTGCAGCCGAAACGCACCGGTATAAATTTAAAAACAGTGCAATATGGTTACGTATCCTTATCACTAGTCGCTAGTGATTATTTATCGTTTTATGTGTCCTAAATGTGTGCCCTTTATAATAAAAACTTAAAATATGTACTTGCGATTAAACAAAAGAATACGTAACAACTTTAAAGTCACCTACTATCATTCTACGTTAGTTTCAACACTGTTTACACCATTTTAAACACATCTTCACAAAGTACCGCCTCAATTTAATCATTCACGTAAAGTTTGTACTTACGCGAATCTCCAAGAAATGTTCCGGCACGGACCCGACGCACCTTGGAGGCAACCACGCGGCTTCTGAGCGAAGAGACGCCCCTCCCCCCCCCCCAACCACCCCGGCCCGACGCCTGCGCTCTCATCCGCACGCGTGTCTTAGTTAATTGATTCACTTATTAACATCTTCCATGTTTATAATCGTGCAAGAAGTAATCTCTGACTCACTGACTGTCACCCACTAACTCGCTGATGCAGATCAGCTGCTGAGGAAGTCGGCGACTGAATACCAAATCAGATGTTTATTGGTTTCGCTGAACGCTGATTGAATGACGTTTGTACTGGATTGTAAGATTGTTTTCTTTACAAATTGAATTATATTTTTCTGGTATTAGGTTTCGTATATTCTACCTGTATATTGTTCTACTTTTTAAAACATACAGGTTCAGAATGTTGAATATATTATAACTTTTAAATTTTTATTGTGAAATTGGATAGTTGCGAATTAAAGTTTTAGGATCAAGTGAAATAAAAAGAAAGAAAAACTTTTGCCTAATATTTACAGTAGAAAATACTCTGATTTTTACGTAAAAAATAAATTCAACTCCTGTTAAAATCAATTGATTATTTTACAGTACAGAATTATTTTTTCTTAAACAATTTTTGAGGCTTAAAGATACAGGGTTGTTTTTTGTTTTCATCATTTACCTTAGTTAAATAGACCACTTTGAGTATTTACTGTTTGAACTAGTTCAGAAACATGTACACGTGTTATAGTTTCTTATATGATAGACTTTATAATCTCAAAACCTTTCAAATGTGTAACTTTACCCTCATCTCCTGGAGAATTCGTCTGTTAAGTGTGTGATGAGCCTTGAATTCTTATATCGCTGGTACAATGAAAGCTTTGGATACGAAAAAGTAATACTTTAAGGCTAAATTAATATATTTATGTGATGTTTGACACCTTAAAATAATAAATATCCGAACCATGCTTTTATTACAATTTTACACATTTAGTTGTAAGAACCAGCTGATTGTCAACTGACTGGTCGGTCAAGTGACTGACAGCTGTCAGCTGTTTCCAGTTCCGGTCACGTGATTTATCCGCTGTTTGTCGGTCATGTGTCAAATGCAGTCATTGTTGAAAAGCCTGACATCGGACTATAGCACTCTATAGTGAAAATGTCTTTTGATTAATAATATTTTACGGATGAAATAATAAAACAGTATTCTTATAATGTTTTGAAGAATGATTGGTATAAAATAATTTACAGTTTAAAGCAAATCATATAATATTTTAATTAGGGTGTTGTTGTATTGGGAACAATATGCTTACATTTAGCAAAATTAACAAAGTATTAACTTAAAGTATGTTTATAATATACATTCAAAAACTATATCAATAAATTGCGGGTTAGTTTATATTGAAATAGTCTACAAAAATAAGAACGTGTCAAAATACAGTAAAATCAAATCTTGGTGATAATTTAACCAGACTAGATAAAAATAGTCAGGAGATGATTGTTCAACATGTTTATTGAATGCTAATATAATATCTACGAAAGAGAGAAAATTTGGGCTTCATAGCTCAAAGGATGTATACAAGAGCCCCACACTACATTTCAAAATTTGAAGAACAGAATACAGAACACACAATACCACGGTATGAATAATAAACAGGAAAGAGAAGAAATTGTGGTCAACAGGGAAAAGAAAATAAGCATATTAATTTATGAAGAAATTATGAAACATTAGACGGACTTTTTACTGACGAAATTATAAACATCAAACTTTAGAAATTTTAATTTGATAAATAAGGCTTTGAAATTTGCTCAGAGCTTGAATCTAGTATGTTTTAGAGAAGTTTATCTATTACAGTAAAGGATACTTTCTTAGTGTTAAAAAATGTAACAATAATAAATTTACTACATGATCCGTTAACTAAATACCGTTAAGTATTGCAAGACTATTTAATACGTCTACGTGTTTTGGCATCTTACTGTGTGACGAAGATGTTATTAACATAAAATTTTTATAACATAAAATTCGTACTTTTTTCTTTGATTTTTCAGGACTATAAGATACAGTTTTTTTTTAAACCTCGTCAATATACTATGGAACATAAATAATAATTTACCACATCCGTACAAACTTGCAAATCAAGATGTAAAATTAACTTTATGTTTAAACACCATGGTTAAATCAAAATGCAAACTTTTTTCAGTTCCATTTATTTAAATAATCAAGGAAAGTTGTTTGGCTAGAAAAATCCGTATTAGCTATTTACATGCGAGGGTGGATGGGGGAAACCACCATCTGTGTCTAACAATATAAACTAAATATTTGAGTGGATAAAATATTGTAGATTAATATGTTTTATTTTTGTTTTGGCAGAGTCTAAAATAAATGTTTAAAACAAGATAGCAAAAAAAATTATTTAATCTGTTTTCTATAATCCCAGGGAGCAACTGGTCTAGTGGTAAGAGTGCCGAAAAATTACTTAAGATTTTATCTAAGTGTACAGCCACGACCTCTGGGCTAGCCTGAAGTAAAGCGAAAAACGATCCTAGGCTCGTGCCTTAGCGTCTTAAGACAAAAAAATCTATAATCCTGCTAACATGTATCAAAGCTCAGCAACCCCTTACCCTTCCAACTACATCCCCACAATTTCCCCTTAAAAGCCTGAAATAATTTTAAAATATGTATGAAATGTGTGTCAGGATTGTGTAAAGAGATGTTGCATCATCTAGATAATTTTCATTACAGGAATTGATCACATTATATGTATCCATACATCTTTCTCCATCACCGAAACCAAAGCAGTGATGTTAATGGAATGCATATCTAGAAAGGGAGGAGGATATAAAAGAGCCATTTGCAAATTGTTGTTATCAGCCTTGTGTATTGTCACATGTCGCCTTTGAAGGCAGCGGACCTTTATTTTTTCGTCCAACTTTTTCCAAAAATAATCTAGGGAGTATTTGTTTGATTTAAACAATGCCATGTCGTAAATAAGTAATAGGTTTCCCTTCAGTGTGCTTAAAATATTTAATATGTTCTTTGCTGAAAAAAAACTTGTTTGAAACTAATATTTTTTGTCAATATCAATAGGTAATAGTTTTTTGCGCTGAGTTTAGCAAATTAGTAATGTCTAATTCTGTTGAGAGTAAAGCAATGGAGTTTTATATACAATTTTATAAAATTCTAAAATACATTTTTTACAATTAAAGTTTATTTATTTATTTTGTAATTGGTTAAATTGCTTCCCGTGTGACAAATAAACTCAAATATTGACAAAATTCCGTTCCAAAAGCCATAGTAGAGTAGGATATACTTGTGTATTTTATTATGTAAGTATTTTTCCTTTTATCTTAAAGACAAAAATAAAAAGTTTTTCAATAAACCATTATTGTTTTATAAAACATAACGAATGTTAGGTTGAATTTGATAAAAGATTAACTTTCATAAATTTGTTATCAGGTTCAACTGTATATATTTAAAGTTTTAAATCTAGAAAACAACAAATAACATACGGATAATACATACTAAAAAGGCAGTGTTAAGTGGGCGATAATCATAGATTTTTTTTCTTTCTATAAAATTGCTTTCAAAGTTGTTTTTTTTTTCATTATCCATTATGATTTTCTATTAGTAGTTCCAATATGTGTTATTGTATATAAATCGAATGAAAAATATCTGGCTAACTACTGAGATAATAGTTTTAAGTTAGTAGAAAAAACTTAAATTCTTGCACATATTCATTACTGTTAAGTCAGCAACACATACATGGTGTTTAAATAAAGATAAATATTAATTAAGGGTGTTTATAAAAATCTAGTAAGATCAGCTTTTACTAATCTGTCTTATAGTTTTGTTTCGTACTTAAACACCAGTTATAATAATGGTTTTGAGTTACATAATAGAACGAAAGTTGCGACTTTTATTCTGATATTTTATGTCATAAAGGGTTAGAATAACATGAACAGAATCAATGACATAAATCCAGTTTAGAATAAATTGGTTCACTCAATACGTTTTTTGTCCTGTTGTGTCTAAATTCAATTATCTTTAAGTTATTTGTCTAACTAGTTGGCGAAGTGGCACTTTGCTCCACACGAGGGAAATGTTTACGCACGGCGAGTGTGGAAAGTTTCTCGAGTGCAGCAAAGGCAGTTTGCACTCGTGTTACACATTATATTTTTCTTACAGTGACTATAAAATGTATAAATAATTAGTCTTTCAAACACTGTACACCACGTTTTTAGGTTAGGTTAAATCCAAACATTGGACGAAATGGGAAACGCTGCACCAGTTGATCGTAGTCGTAATATCTTTTAAGTGTTGGCAACTTATTTTCAAGCGTACAAGGATTATGTGCATAACAAAAGCAAGCTGTTTTGTGTTGTTTGGTTGGAGTACTGGTGTGTGCCAAAGTAAGGCTTTCTCTACTGTGCAAGGAAGCCCACTTTGTTGGGTGGCTGTAGGAAAAAATATTGGAATAATGTAACAAGAACAAACACAAAAACGTTAAATTAAACAGCTGACTAAAAACAGAAAACAATAAATAATGAACTTCGTAGTACGCTTAAGTCTTGCATAAACACGTTTTAGATATTACTTCAGGCTAGGCATAGAGTCGCCTTCACTTCTATAAACCCATTAATGATTGGCGGGATATTAACTAGAGACCTCGAGGACCGAAGTCCCGCACTCTACCATTACTGTACCAGCATGATCCCAAAGGTTGTCCTATATACATTGTACTACGTATCTCATATCTAAAAATGTGTTTACTTGTTGATAGAATGCGTCGTATACATGACAATACTACGCACAAACTGTGTTTTCGAATTTATATTCTTACAACAGTAAATTTATGGAATGGAATAAATGATTACAAAATAAACAATTGCCTGCATTACTCTTGTCCAAAACATCGTCGGCAATGTGCATTTTACATGTAGATGGACTGAGTTTCTTTGCGAGTCTGATTGCGAAAGTTTTGTTGGAAAGGGAACAATTTAGCAGAAGTGTCTCAGTAAGAACGAAACTTATGATACTCTTCAACCCAACTTTT